ATGGCGACGGCAAAACGTCGACGGTAAGAAGAAGATGGTGACGGTGAAGATTCGACGTGGAGAAGGTGATGGCGACGGCAAAACGTCGACGGTAAGAAGGTGATGACGGTGAAGATTCGACGTGGGGAAGGTGATGGCGACGGCAAAACGTCGACGGTAAGAAGAAGGTGGTGACGGTGAAGATTCGACGTGGAGAAGGTGATGGCGACGGCAAAACGTCGACGGTAAGAAGAAGGTGGTGACGGTGAAGATTCGACGGGATGAAGGTGATGGTGACGGCAAAACGACGACTTTAAGAAGAAGATGGTGACGGTGAAGATTCGACGTGGAGAAGGTGATGGCGACGGCAAAACGTCGACGGTAAGAAGAAGGTGGTGACGGTGAAGATTCGACGGGATGAAGGTGATGGGGACGGCAAAACGTCGACGGTAAGAAGAAGATGGTGACGGTGAAGATTCGACGGGATGAAGGTGATGGCGACGGCAAAACGTCGACGGTAAGAAGAAGATGGTGACGGTGAAGATTCGACGTGGAGAAGGTGATGGCGACGGCAAAACGTCGACGGTAAGAAGAAGGTAGTGACGGTGAAGATTCGACGTGGGGTGATGGCGACGGCAAAACGTCGGCGGTAAGAAGAAGGTGGTGACGGTGAAGATTCGACGGGATGAAGGTGATGGTGACGGCAAAACGTCGACGGTAAGAAGAAGATGGTGACGGTGAAGATTCAACGTGGAGAAGGTGATGGCAACGGCAAAACGTCGACGGTAAGAAGGTGGTGACAGTGAAGATTCGATGTGGAGAAGGTGATGACGACGGCAAAACGTCGACGGTAAGAAGAAGGTGGTGACGGTGAAGATTCGACGTGATGAAGGTGGTGGTGACGGCAAAACGTCGGCGGTAAGAAGAAGATGGTGACGGTGAAGATTCGACGTGGGGAAGGTGATGGTGACGGCAAAACGTCGACGGTAAGAAGGTGGTGACGGTGAAGATTCGACGGGAACAATACAGTTGCAAAGCCGCCTCATGCAAAACTGAACGGATACATGTTTGACGCAAAAATGTGCACACAAACATACATACATACACCTCATACACACACTTGCACACTACTCAACACACATGCATACTACAGAACGCACAATAGAACAAACACAGGAAGCGCATCACAACACTGGCATACCGCAGAGTGTAAAATCCTTTCTCTCCGCACGGTTAACTAAGGAAATAATTCAACCTAAACCATATCATGCCAGCATCATGCCAGGCCATGCCCCCCAAATCACATCATGCCAGGCCATGCCCCCCAAATCACATCATGCCAGGCCATGCCCCCCAATCACATCATGCCAGGCCATGCCCCCCCAATCACATCATGCCAGGCCATGTCCCCCAAATCGCATCATGCCAGGCCATGCCCCCCAATCACATCATGCCAGGCCATGCCCCCCAAATCACATCATGCCAGGCCATGCCCCCCAATCACATCATGCCAGGCCATGCCCCCCAAATCACATCATGCCAGGCCATGCCCCCCAATCACATCATGCCAGGCCATGCCCCCCCAATCACATCATGCCAGGCCATGTCCCCCAAATCATATCATGCCAGGCCATGCCCCCCAATCACATCATGCCAGGCCATGCCCCCCCAATCACATCATGCCAGGCCATGTCCCCCAAATCGCATCATGCCAGGCCATGTCCCCCAAATCGCATCATGCCAGGCCATGTCCCCCAAATCGCATCATGCCGGGCCATGCCCCCCAA